GGCTTGATCCGATCAACGACAACGTTTAGTCAAAAGACTGTAAATAACATTGAAACAGCTTCAACAAGAGAAGCTTATTAGACTTTGCTATTGCCGACAAACATTGCGGTATGAGATTACATGCACCCTAACAATTATATATTACAAAACGGTTCCTTAGTGTAGCGGTTATCACGTCTGCTTTACACGCAGAATGTCCTGGGTTCGAGCCCCAGAGGAACCATTAATCAACATTTTTTGCTTCGGTATATAAGTTGATGAAATTCCATGTCACTAACGGCTCAGCAAATATATGACAAAAAAAGTGATGACTTTTGAATCGAAACCATCTCACGGAATATGACTTCACGTAAAAACACGTCAAAAGTTCTCACCTTAGCCTATACACACCAAGTAAGCGGATCATTTAACGTGCGGTTCTTCTAATGTCTTTAATTTATTTTGTGCGATTTCACAGTTTCTTCGAGATGTGCGGATCCAGGTTTTTTTTTTTTGCAATTTTATTTTCAGATTCTCGTTTCTTTAATTCGGATTTTTGGTATGACGTCCCACTCAAACTCTGGTTAACTTAACTTCAACTCTCAAGCCAGARTTATAATAAGGTTGGGCYTCAYGCAGSCTTRTAGATAGGTGWWGTTATCTTTATATTTTTGGTGTAACTACTGTGCTGCAAATAGAATGGAATTCTATTCACTATGAATCAGTCTAGAGGGGCTAAATTATTTTAAAAGCGCCTTATGGGCGTTTACTGGGATACCTGTGGTCAGTGGTCTATTGAGGAAAAAGGTACCACAGGCATCCCAGTAACAAGTTTGGTACAGCGATGGCTACAGCAGCGCGTGTTTATGAAACGGCCAAATCACTGAGTCCTGCAGCCTTCCTTGCCTTGTACAGCAATGCTCTGAGCATGAACTTTTTGCGAGAGAGAGTTCGGACTTGCTACAAGGTAGGAAACAAACAAGGGTTAAATGAAAACTGGAAAGTAATATCCTTCATCATAATCACTATTGACAATACCACGATCAGTAAATTTGGTCTTGGTTTAGGCCTAATCGATCCTAGGTTAGTTTAATCGGGGTTTTGAACAACTGGGCCTAGAAGGTTACGCGCACTGGCCTAATGCCTCTTACAGCTCCATTTAAGTATAATAGAAAATTCACTAAATATAGTTTGATCAATTGATGATCCAAATTGCGTGAACTCATTCAGTAAACTAAAACTTTTTTTTTCAACTAGAATTTCTAAAACAAAATTTAAATATGATTTTTAGATATTCCTCTCTACTCTATACGGCCCTGAAACAACACMCTTCACGGTATGTAATTATAAACGTCTACAAATCCCATGTCTTATTAAATAACGACGGATCCGGAATTTTGCGAAAAAATAGGACATTGTGCAGTTATGACCGAT